CTGCCTGCTGGCTTCCCCTTGGGGCACCTGCTTGGCGGCACTGAGAAAAGGATGCCGGACTAGACGAGCCCTCCTTCGGCCTCATCCAGCAAGGCTCTTCGGATGTTCTTATGACTGGCTGGTAGGTGGGGGCTGGCTCTGCTCCCATGGAGGCTCCCCGCCCCATTGCCAGGGGGTTGACTGCAGTGGTGGTTCTGCCGGGATCAGCTCAGTTTTAGCCCCAGACTAAGGATGGCACCTTTGTCAGGAAGGTGATCCTGGAAGGAAGAACAGCAAAAGAGGCTTGGACAACGGAGTCAGCCTCTTTTCTTTTGGCCTTAGGCCCACCCAAGGCTGGCTGTCCATTATCCTCCCTGGCCAAGGGCGGGTCAAAGGCTGGCCCAAGCAGGTGGGTGGCACCCACCCAGGTGAGCCGTGCTATGCCACAAACCCCGCCCACTTGTGGGGAGGGGAGGGCGGATATTGTCAGGAAAGTGCTCCTGGGAGGGAATCACCTTGTCTGGGGTTCGTCCTGTTGTAGGAATTTATGTATAGGTTGGGGGGGGTTGCCCCTCCAGCAGATATCATGCACATGCAGTCCACTACCAAAATCAGCACAATCCCTTTTGCGATTTGTCCTCACAAAACACTTCATCACAGTTTCTTCCTATCTATTCAAAGGGTCTTTGCTGCACGATACCAAATGTAAGAATTCACTGATCAATGTATCTCTGTACTGGCTCACTGGGAAAACTTCATATAGACATGTGAGCTCAGCTCCTCAGCAGCCCCTCTGCCTGAGTGATAATCCCTGGCCTCCTGATACCTGAGTGCCAGACAGGTAGCCATTCCAGAAATAACAAACCCAGATGAAGGCAAAAGGGTGTGATTAACTTGGCTGGGAAACAGGGAAATGTAAATATATCTTTTGTTGCACTTGATGGGTGTTTGGTGGAGGGCAAGGAGAACCATGGGGCAGGGTCCAGGATGCTCAGATTACGGCCACCAGACCTCCCCTTTCATGATGTAACCGTGATGTACCGTATTAGTGATGTACCGGTAGTTGGGAGGGGTGTAACATGGGGATTGGGACGCAAGTGGTGCTGTGGGTTAAACCACAGAGCCTAGGACTTGCCGATCAGAAGGTCAGTGGTTCGAATCCCTGCGACGGGGGTGAGCTCCCAGTTCGAAAGCACGTCAAAGTGCAAGTAGATAAATAGGTACCGCTCTGGCGGGAAGGTAAACGCCGTTTCCATGCGCTGCTCTGGTTTGCCAGAAGCGGCTTAGTCATGCTGGCCACTTGACCCGGAAACTGTACACCGGCTCCCTTGGCCAATAAAGCAAAATGAGCGCCGCAACCCCAGAGTCGGCCACGACTGGACCTAATGGTCAGGGGTGCCTCTACCTTTTAACATGGGGATTAGCAGCTAATAAAACTTTGGGTTCTCTTTTGTTTGGGGCTTCCATCTTGTTCCACCTGGTGGCAGGTGGGAGTCCTGTTGCGACAGTCTTCAATCAAGACCAAGCCTACTGGCTGCTGTTTTGCTCTGGTATTCCTGGCTGCTGTCCTTGTTTTTTGTCCAAGGGAGCCCCCAGATTTCTCAGTTAACAGTCCTCCTGCCCACCCTGAAGATCCTGCTCCCTGGCTGCAAACTTGGAGCAGGATTGGCTGTGCAGGAGGAGGAGGAATGGAAGTGGCAGGAGAGGCAGCAGTTGATAAAGAGGAGAAAGGGAAAGGCATGGAAGAAGAGGAAGCTTCTGGAACAAGACTCCTCCTCCTGACAGTCCACAGTCCTCATCTTGCCAAGTGCAGTGGGCGGCCCTGTTCTCTCTGCCTTGGAAGTGGGGGCTCAGCCAGAGATTGGGTGGCCAGCCTCCCATCCAAGTTTGGCACTAGGGGGCTCCTAGTTGGTCCTGGCCAACAGCCCAGACATGGCAAGATGCCTGCGGATCCCCTGGCCAGGCTCCCCTACAGGACGAGGCAAGACCCTTTGGGACACCTCAACTAAATTTAATTTAATTAAACTGCAACTCAATTTAATAAGCAAATCCTTTCCAAGCCTACTCAGAAGGAAGGCCAGACTGGAACTTAAGGGTGCATAGGAGTGTAAGCACAGCACTGATGCGGAATGAAAACGTCTCAGTGGCCTTTAAAAATTAAATTGTAAAATGGCAAGACTTGGAAAACTACAAAACCCTTTTCATTAGGGAAATATGTTTCTTCAGTGTGGGAGAATCTGGGTTTATTCAAACTGCCCAATGGAAGGGCCCACTCTGTAGATAATATTAGGCTCGCTGTCTTAATTATTCAGTGACTGAACTATTATTTAATTATTTAGTGATGAAATAATTGGAATATAATTAATCCTGCAGTATTCATAAGATAACCAGAAACAACAGTATAAGACCCTGGTCAGGGGCTTTTCAGTTCTAAGTGAGTAAGACGAGTCAACCCAGAGAAAGTTAAAAATCCCCAGGTTTCCTCTGTTGTCACAGGAGATTGGTCACCTTCTGCAAACGCCGATTGATGGCAAACAGGATTTCCGTCCTCCTGGCACTTGAAAGGGTGCATGAAGTTTGTCAGCTGTGACTGGGCTGTCTTCCCTGGGGAATTCCAGAGCAGAGACCAGTGAGACCAGAGGCCCTGCTGCTGGGGGAACTGCTTCTCATAGCAGCCCCTGCCTGGGCTGCCTGGGCTGGGAGTTAGGATGCAGCAGCTGCCTCTACCATACAAAGCTCAGGCTCAGTTGCTTTCTTGCTGAAGCGACTCAGAATTCTGCCCAGCCCGAGATCAGTGCCCACCTGGCATGAGGTGCCCACTTTTTGCTCTGGTTTGCAAATGTACCTGGGGGTCCTGAGATCGGTTGCCCACCACCTGGGCCACAGGAATGATATCAGCACTATCATGGCTGCTATTTGTTCATCCTTTTTATCCCCTTTCCCTTTTGCTGACAAGTGCTTTGTGCAACTTTTCTCTCTTTCGTACCCGCTCTAGTCTGTGGGTGATGCCCTGCTGCTGGGATTCAGCAACTACCTGTTTGGCAGGTAGCTCACACTGCAATCCCACACCTGTCTGCTCAGAACAAAGCCCTCCAGCCATCCTTTTTGAAGAAGATTCCTCAGGATGTTATCAGAGCTCTTATATGAAAGGAAGCCGACCACCAACCAAGACAGTTTCACACCAGGAGTTTGAGCCAAAGGAAAACCTACCCAGGCAAGTTTTTCTCTCTGCAATGATTCCATGGGGGAAAACTGAAAGGTCTGAGGAGGACGTCCCCAGATGTTGTGTGCTCAGTCCCACGATGCATGCACATCTCCTGAGAGATGTTTGTGAGAGGGCAAAAGGCTGCACCCGCCCCCGGCTCTCCCTCCCCAATCCGCCTTCCAGGAGCCGGCAGCCCAGAGGTACCAAGCGGCAGTGGGGTTTCTGCATCCCTTCCTCCCGCCACCTGCACTCCTGGCGGGGGACACCATACCCAACTCCTAGGCATGTCTCTGCTGCAGGTGATGGACCTTCTCCAGAAACCCTGGTTCGTTTTGATTTTGGGCAAGTTGGCATCAATTTAATGTGGGGCAAGAGGCACAGAGAGGAGTATCAAAGTGGCAGAGAAGGTGATGCCAGGCAGACAAGGGGTGGGGGGAGAAAGGATAGAAATATTTGAGAAAGTAAAGAAGCAGAAGGGAAGGGACAGGGCCCAGCGTGGAGGAGGAGGAGGATGGTGGTTTTGAGGAAGAAAGTGGGGGACGACGACGAGGGGCTCAGTGGTACCCTATGCCCAAAATGGACCTCCCAGAAACTTGAAGCTGGCTCTGCTCCCCTCCCTCAGCAAAGGGCCAGACTTGTTGGGAAGTAGACAGACTGCTTCCTCATAAGAATGATAGCAGTGTAGAGCGGAAGGATACTCCAGGGTCCTCTGTCTAGCCTCTGTCAATGCAGGAATCCATGGCAGAGAAGGCAGAGGAGCCTCCAGCCAAGGGTCTCCTGCCCTGCTCATGCCATGAGACGCACAAGTCTCCTTCCACATGACCATGTGCAGCCACTGGGGCAGCTCTGCTCAAGACGGGAACGCAGGGCAGGCCGGCCATCTTGGCAGCAGTCAGAACTATCTCAGCAGAAGCCGTCTTAACCTGCTTTTTTACAGTTAAACCTGCAGTGCTCAGAGCGAGCGTCAAAGGGAACAGCGCTTATTTGGGATGGCAGTGAGTGCAGCCCAGCCTCAGGGCTCCACGGATCTCAGGAAGGTGAGCTGCTGGGACTCTGGCCAGGTGCCACTCCAAAGCCACAGGTCTTGCACAAAAACGAGCAGAAGTTTATTGAAAGGTATGAAGGTGAGCAGGTAAGCACTCACCTTCGGCACAGAGGGGTAAGAAGTCCTTCTGCATTTCACAAACTGTTGGGTGAAAACACAAGCATTTGGGGTGGGGAAACTTCAGCCCTGAAGCGGGCGATGGCCAGCATGGCAGTCCCAGAGGGTAGGCCACGCCAGCCACGCTCCCCTATTTCCGCCAAGCTGAGTGGTGCTGCCACCCCCCAGGCACCATCCCTCATGCTTGGGGGGGCACCTTGAGTTGACAAATGAGGGTCACCCCTCCAATTCCATGCTCCACAGGGCCTTAGAGGGACGAGTCACAATCACGCCACGCAGGACATTTGTTTTTACGCCTCAGTTTGGTAAAACCCTCGAAAGCTTGCAAGTGCTGGGGGTGTGTGGGTGATGGCCGTTGCAGGCCTGCCCTTTGGCCCTGGGGCAGCAACTGGGGTTCCTGAAGGTCGTTCTCAGATTGGCAGGTGGAGGTAGTGCCTCGCCCACAAAGCGGCCTGCCAGTGCAGCCCCTTGCCACACCTCCAGCTTGGCCTGAGGCCTCCTGTGCCCCAGGAAACCCTGCCCCGTACAGAAGCACGGCTCCTCCTCGCCACTCAAACTGGGCCCAGGGCCTGATCCTGCTGCTGCTGCTGAGCTCTGAGAAGGGTGTGTGTCTTCCTGCTCACAGATGCCTCCCTGGCTTGGCATGGGAAGAATTCACACTTCTGGCTGTGTTGTCAGGCGAAGCTGCAGGCCCACTGGCAGGTGGTCTGAGAAGGTGGCCAGGCGAGTGATGAAGAAGAACTTCTCCACAGCCTGGAAGCAAGGGGGGGGGGAGCGGAGAGAGACCATGAGGGCAGAGAGGAGAGCGAGCCCAGAGGCAGGAGCCTCTTGGGCACCCCTGCAACACCCACCTCCTCAGTTCATGAGCAAGAGAGCATTTAAGGGCCCCCCCAGGGCACTGCGCACTTGTAGCCTCTGACTCACCGTTTTCAGCTCCAGGGGGTTGAGGTGCTCCCGGTAAAGGATGTAGTCAATGCGCCGCCCCTCGCTCGAGGTCACCGAGGGGTCGGGGGTCCCATCCTTCGTGATGGGGCCGGCCAGGTACTTCCTCCGCCCCTTGGGCTCTGTGAGGGTTCTGCAAGGCAACGGAAAGACGAGTCCAGCAGGAAGGAGCTGTGGGTCGCAGGGCAGCCCCTCCGGTGGGGTCCCACACTGGGACACCTCATGCTGATGGTCCACTGCAAGCGCCCCCAGAAAAGCCCACCCAGCACCTTGCTCTTCTTCAGAGGGCTTTCCCCCCACTCCTCCTATAGGGAGGGGGCCCAGCTCAACATGGAAAAGACCATGTGCAAAGTCCCCCTCCCCCTGCAAAACCCAAATTTTATCCTGTCAATTTTGCCGCTGCCCGCCCCCCAGCAAAGGAAGATAGCAGCTGCCACCCCCAGCTCTGCCAAGTCCAGCAATCCTGCCATGGAAGGAACCCCCCCAGCCCAGTTCAGCCCCTCACCTCTGCATGCGCTTTGGGGTCGACACAGCCTTGCTATAGATCTTCAGGTAATTCATCAGGGTGCCTGTGGGGGGGAGGGACAGTTGTCAGTTCAAGGTGTGGCATTTTTGCACTCTCCCCCCACCTGTTCATGCTTGGGGGGCTGCCCTACAAGGCTAGCTGGAGAGTTGGGAAGAGAAGAGGCCAGCAGCACAGCCCACCCCCATCTGACTTCCCATGATGCCCCTCTACCTGCCCCCCCCCCCCGCAGAAACACCTGGCCTCTGCCCAACAGCAGAGCACAGAGAGAAAAACCCATCCTTGCGCCACAGGGCAGAGCGCAGGAAGGTCTAGAAGCAGAGGCAAGGCCAAGGTGGGGCAGGCATGCTGTGTGGGGGCAGAAACCCACCGATAGCCCAAGGCTTGTCCTTCCGGGGTCCGATGCGGCACGGATCCGTGTAGACGTTGAAGATCTCATGCACTTGCTCCAACGCATCCCCTGTGAAGAAAGGAGCAGGGAGGGAGGACGGCAGGTGAGGGGGAATCCTCAGACACACACCCCTCGCCTGCCCCCTCCAGGAACCCCACCTGCATACCTGTTGAGCAGTTGTCAAAGTTGAGGTCCCCACAGTAGATGTTGAAGGCCACAATGTCCCCGGGCTGAGCATTTGCATCCTGGAATTGCTGGGCCCAAAGCAGACTCAGAGTCAGCTGGTCGCACCGGACCTGGTTGTCAGCTGGGAGAAAGTGGGAGGAGGCGTCAGCCCAAGAGGGCACAGCAAGCAGGGGGTGGGGTGGAGAGGCCAGAGCTCCCCTGGAGAGGGCTGGCGGACCCTCCCTCTCCTGCCGGGATGTGGGGAGAGCAGAGCAAGAGGGCAGCAGAAGGAGGCGGCCAGGGGAGCACACAAGACCCTCAGAGCCTGCTGGGTCAGGCCTATGGTCCACGTTGGTGCCTCTTGCTGCCTCCTGGGGAAGCGAGCGCCATAGCTGAACTCTGCTCTGCGTGAAGGAGGACTTTCTTTTATCCATCCTGAATTAATATAATTATTATTATTATAATTATTAATTTAATTTATATACTGCCCTACACCCACAGGTCTCAGGGCAGTTCACAGGATAAAACCAGAATATAAAATTCAAAAAGTACATAATCAAAATAAAAACAACAACCCAATAACCCCCAACACATTTTAAAAAATCAACCAAAAGCCTGGTTAAAGGGGAACGTTTTTGCCTGGTGCCTAAAGGTATATAATGAAGGTATATAATGTAGGTGCCAGGAAAACTTCCCTGGGGAGAGCACCTCACAGATGGGGAGCCACTGCAGAGAAGGCCCTGTTTTTGTGTTGCCACCCTCCGAACCTCTCGAGAAGGGGGCACACAAAGGAGGGCCTCAGAAGTTGATCTCAAGGTCCGGGTAGGTTCATATGGGAAGAGGCGGTCCTTGAGGTATTGCGGTCCTGAGCTGTTTAAGGCTTTATAGGTCAAAACCAGCACTTTGAATTGGGCCCGGAAACTAATGGGTAGCCAGTGCAGTCGGAGCAGGATCAGTGTGAGATGCTCAAACCGTCTTCCAACATGCGGCTTCGCTGGATGTCCACAAGGTATGTTATATATAGCGTCATGTCAGAGAGGGAGAAGACACCCTCTCCCCATCCTTCACTTACCTTCTGGAGCGTGCATGTGGGTGCAGTTCAGGTACCCCACAATCCTTTGCCCTTGAGAAGCTCCCAGTTGCACCTGAGACACACAGGAAACATGGCAGGTCAAGCATCACCAAGGGAAACCTTCTAAGGGGAGGCACTCCAGGGAGAAAACAGATTCCAGCAAGCAGCCCCGAGACCATCTTGGTCCATTCTCCAGCCCCCAGGAGACCCCCTTACAGACCTCCTGGAAAACAACTCCCGCCTCTAAATGAGGGCAGAATCTGCAGAAGGCACAGGCAGTTGTTGTCGTTGTCCCCCGCCCCCTGCCATGCTTCTGAGGACCCTCACTCAAATGCGCCTTTTGCTAACTCTGGGGCTGCTGTAAGGGAACCCCAAACACCCCCCAAAGGCAGGAAACAGAACCACTTTTCCTTTTGCAGCTTCCACACCTGCAAGCGTGCACCCGCACACTTGCACTCGCACACTGGAGCAAGTTTCTGATCAGGTTCAGCTTGGTCTTCCAGTTAATGTTTGCCAAGGGCTGGAGAAAGTGCAAATCTTGGACAAACAAGAGTGATTTTGATTTCGGGCAGGGAGGCATGTGGAGGGCAGGGCTAGGAAATCTTCGGACCAGTGGAGAATTTTTTCTCTGGAATGGGTCTTTAGGGTGTGAGGCGGGGCGTGGGGTGATACCAGTTCTTGGTGCTCGGCTAGGAGACCCAATCTGCTGCTGGGCCCCAGTGGTGCTGGCTCTGCGCCTCCCGAGGGCACCTGCTGAGCACAGAGATCCATTTCCAGGCAGGGAGGAGGGTTGCCATGAAATCAGGAGACCTCAATGTGGTTGCCCAGCTGCAAGAGGAAGCACCCCCACCCACGCTCAAGGACTCTCTAATCTTCGGCTGCACGCACAACGTATGTTTGAAGCGTATGGCTTCACAGCCGTAATCTGTTAAGGGTGCTGAGAACTGTAGCTCTCTGAGGGGGTAAACCAGTTCCCGGAATTCTCTGCGGGAAGCCATGTGCTTTAAATGCACAGAGAGAAGCCCTGCAGCGGATCCAAGGGAGCGTGGGCTGCTCCCCAGGCAATCTCTTTGCTCCCTCGCCTCCCCTCCCGGTTCTGGGTTCCCATGCAGATCAGAAAATGGCAGCAAAGTGACAAGCTCTCTTTGGAGGTGGCTGCTCCTAATCCAGCCACGTCCCTGCTGGCACGGGGAGTACAGGAGCAGCAGCAAGGGCACAGCACTGCCAACCTTCCTTAGCAAAGACTCCTGCCAACGCAACAGCACCCTCAAGGCTGCCTAGTGCTCCCAGGACTGCCTGGGGGCAGCAGGCACAGCAGCAGCAGCCCTTCAGCACCCAGTTCAGCCCTCCGGAAGTGAAATGGCCCCTCCCATGTCATTTCCTTCTGTGCCAGCGAGTTTGAGGGGGGCATTGCTAGGGTTCAGCATTAGCTGTGGGTCCCATAAATGAGAAGCAGGAGTCCTGCTTTTAGGAGGGAGGGGAGAAGAGGCAGGCAGGCAACAGGAGGGCTTCCCTCCTTCGGTTACAGAAACACCCCACAAGAGAGCAACATGGGGGGCTGCCTTTTCAGAAGCCAAATGTAGGTCTGTCTAGTGTAGAGTGGGAAGGAACCCCCAAGGGTCATCTAGTCCAACCCCAGAAATCAAGTTTATTGCATTAATTTACAAATCCCTGAACAACTAGGGTCCTGTCTGAACCCTCATATCCCGGCTTGGTTACTGAGATCATCTGCAGTGTCGTTGGGGGAGTTGGCAAGGCTTGTCTGACAACAAGATACTGAGCCTTTCGTGTCATGGGCCAGTCCTGTGGAACTCCCTGCCACCAGAGATTCAGCAGGCACCTTCTGTTTCAACTTTTAAATACCTGCCGAAAATTTTTCTATTCCGCCAGACCTATGTAGGCAGTTGAGAGAACATCGCCCACAATGGTCTACTGATGTTTGCTGTTAATTCTTTTGCTTTCAACTTGTTTTTATGTTTATGATATATTTCTATGACATAGCGGTATGGAAATATTGTTGTAAATAAACAAGCAAGCAAGCCAAGGAGCCTGCCCCCCCGCCTCTCACCTGCACACAGAGCAGCCCTTTGGCGCTGAAGGCGTCCTCGCCAGTGCCGTTGGGGTAGCAGTGGTACTGCACGGCCAGGACTGGGTAGCGGCTGGCCAGGAAGAGCCCGCTATTCAGGAGCTTCAGGGCCGAGCAGCCCACCACCCCGAGGGTGCCCACATCGTAGATGATGTGCTCATAGCAGGGGGCGAGGAAATGGCGCACCTGCCCCGAGGCCTGCCGGTCAAAGACCTCCTGCAGACACACAACGTCCGCGTAGGGGGGGAAGTGGGCCGTGATCTCTGCGGGCGACCCGGCAGCCGCTCCTTCCTCTTCGAGGGGCACCTCCAGCATCACATCCCCGCTGAGCTGAGGGGAGCCCTGGCCGGACCGTGGGGGGCTGGCCTCCATGGACCCATACTTCCTCCCGGCCGAGGGGCTGAAGCCAATCTGGAAGTCCCCCCGGGGGCCTGGCTCGTGAGACGGTGGGGAGCCGGAGGCCGCCCGCGCCAGCGCATGGCCGATGTGCTTGGCACGCCACTGCGTCCGCGACAGGTTGCTGAACTTGGCCAAGCCAACGGGAAGCAGGCAGAGGTTGCCGCTGACCACACTGAAGGTCTTTGCCGGGCCGGGGAGCACCCACGGCTCTGGCGGGGCCTGGTTCGGCGTGTGTTGGTAGGCAAAGGGGCGGCGGGCAGCCTGCAGGGGCAGCCACAGCAGGAAGGCCAGCAGCGAGAAAGGGGCAGAGAGGAGCAGCAGGGGCACCAAGACGACCCCCTTGCCTGCCGCCTCCAGGGCATAGGGCAGGCCGTGCTGGTGTTCTTGCTTTTCCTGGGTGGTCTGCTGCAAGGCCAGCAGCTGGTTCACCAGCCAATAGCTGGGGAAGAGGATGTGTCGCAGCACAGAGTCCATGGCCCCCAGGACACAGCTGGAGTAGGGCGACTCGCGCAGACCCATCCTAGGGCTGCAGCAGCAGCAGCAGCAACAGGGCCTTCCGAGGGGGGCTCCTCCGGGCCCCAAATGGATCCTGGGTGGCTGGCCTCTTGGTCACCAGGCCTCTTGGCTCTGGGGGGCCGGATCCTGTGGAAGAGAAGCAGTAAAAGTAAGAGGCTACTCTGGTTAAGGGAGGGGGGTCTTGGGCTCAGTGATGTGGTCTGGCAGTTAGATTCTGCATCCTCCCTGAACTCTAAAGGGAGCAGAGTGAGGATGGAGTAGTTTTTTGGGGGGGAGAAGGTCCAGCTAGGACTCTTTGGCTCTGCTGCCAGAGCAGGGCAGAAACCAAATTGGCTCTCCTGTTGGTGTTCAGCCACCGTTTTTTCAACCCTACATTTGAAAAACGCCTTCTCAACATCAACTCTTTTTTGGCAGTTGGAATACAACGAACATTGAGGGGGAAATATCAGAATAGATAAAATGCCGGAAGGGCGAAGAGCACGTCAAGCCCCGAGGGCCTGATCTCGCTCCAGGGGTCGCTCTTCAGGTGCGCCTTGCAGAGATGGCTCTCCAGTTCATGGGACTAAATAAATGCTCTTTTAAGCAGATGCAAAGAGGGGGCGTCCCAGGGGGAGAAGTTGCCTCCACACTCACCCCCACCTCGGGCAGACGGGATAGCTGCCCCCTCCCCGGAAAGCGGGTCCCCCTACTCCTTCCCGCAGATGCCTCACCCGCCTCCACCCAGCCACCTCGCGCGTCTAGAAGCGGAGCAGTCAGCGCGCCCGGCCGCCTCCCTCTGGGCGCGCCTGGCCTCTCGCCCGGCAGGTGAGGACTCCGAGCCGGGCCAGCCGCCCGCCCCCTCCAGGACCCGCCTCGGCCCGCCCGCCCGGCCTCCCTGCTTGCCCGGCGGGTTAATGGTTAGCCAGCCTCCCTCGGGCAGCTGGCGAGCGGCTTCTCCCGGCTCCGGCTCGCCCCGTCCATCCCCCCGCAATGTAGGGCGCGCAGCGCAAGCATCCCGGGCGCTTCCTGGCGGTTGAAGGCGAGCCCAGCAGTTGGCACCCGCGGGGCGCGGGGACGCCCGAGGGCGGGCAGAGAGGAAAGGAAGGGGGATCCCGGAAGCCCCCTTGATCCAGGGGGGAAGAGGAGCCCCCAGGGAAATCCCCACTTACTGCCTGGGGCGCCTGGGCTCTGCGGGCGCCACCCCGGGCGGAGGCGCCCGCCCGCCCGCCTCCTTCCCGTTGCCGCGGGCGGGAGAGAGAACGGCGGAGCGCGGCAGGGAAGGGAGGGGGCCCGGCCCCCAAGGCCCCTTCCCCGGCCCAGGTGCAAGGGGCCTGCCGCCACCCCACTTGCCCCACATCGGGGCACTTCCTAGAGCCCCCTCTGCTCTTCCAACCAACCTGCTCTCAACAAAGCAGCCTAAATGTCTTTTCCAGGAGAGGGCCTTTCCCCTCCAGAGGGACCACTGCCACGCCCCCCCATCTGCCTCAGTTCCACTGGACACCCCTTTGCACCCATCGCCCCTCCTATTAATGTTTCGTTGCATTAATTATATTCTATTTATTATATTAACAATATAACAGTTGAAAGTCCTCAAACTGAAGGGGAATGTTTCCAAGGCCTGGTTGAAGAGGAATATTATTATTATTATTTTCCCTTTACCTTACTGGGGTTCTAGTCCCCACTCGGCCGTGGGGCTCCCAGGGTGAGCGTGGGCCAGCCACCACCTCTCAGCAGAGGCAGATTTAGGGGAGTGTGTGTCGCTTCGGCTGCAGTGGGCGCAGAGCCTATGGGGCAGAATGGAAGGCAAGAAGTGGAGGGGTATCAGATGTTGGCATCACGAATGACGCTGCTGAAATTTGAGAGCCCAAAGTCCAACGCTGCTCCCAGCCTAACCTACCTCACAGGGTTGTTGTGGGAGATTAACGGGGGGGGGGGGAGAACCACGTGTGGCACCTGGGAGAAAGAGGTGGCACAGAAATGCAGTCAATGAAAAGAGAAAAGTGGACAGCGCTGAGCTAGAGGGACCAAGAGCCTGGATCTAAGGCCGCTGCTTGGAGGCTGCGCAGCAAACCTGCCCTGGGACCACCCTGCTCCTCAGGAGCCCTCACAATCTCCCTCCCCCCATATAAGCCGCATGTGGGGCACCCTGAGAGAGTGGGCAATGCTGGTGGGTTCAGATCCCTTCTGAGCTGTGCCGCAGAAACAACAGGGACCCGTTTGACAAGGTTGTGGGTTTGAGTGAGCAAAGCAATTTGGACGCCACGAGGACAACGTCAACATCCTTGTCATTAGAATTCTCCTAATCATCCTAATTACCACAATTCCAAGGCACAGACAGGCCTGCTGAGTGCCTTCGAGAGCAAGCACACCTGAGCCTGTGCTGGTGGGCGGAGAGAACATCCGCTCTTTTTTCACATTCATGAGCTGGTGAAACGGCAGCACTTTTTCATTGACATACCACATTGGTGGGGCTGCCAACGGAGTGGCTGTTGGATTCTGGAAAGGAGGAGGGGAGGGGCGAGGTGCAAATGTGCCAGCAGAGCCAATCTTGCTGAAGCATTTGCACTGCGCCATCCTCATCCCTCCATCCCAAGATGCAGCAGCGGCTCAGCTGGAGAGAGGTCAGGTGAGCAGTGCAGGCCATCCTTTTCCCATGCCAAGAGCCTCCTCATAAGAGGCTGGTTACAGCTGGATCAGTCCAAGGGAGGGTGAGCCACCTAGTTCAGCACATCCTGTTTTCCACAATGGCCAACCAGACACCCCACCGAGGGGAGCCACCATTGCAGGAGTTTGAATAGATGACCCTCAGGATCCCTTCCAATGCTACAGTTCTATGAAAGAGAAGCGCATGAAGACCATAGAATGGAATCACTGGAAGGGACCCAACAGGCCATCTAGTCCAGCCCCCTGCAATGCAGGGATCACAGCTAAGGGCTCCAAAGAAAATGTTGCTCATGGAAGTAAAAATGCAAAGGCACCATTGAGGTAGAGCAGCAAACAAGATAAGATAAATGCTTTCCTAGTGTGCCAAAAGGAAGAGGAACAGAATAATAATTAGTTCTGTTTATCAGCAGAGAAGATGAGATATAAAGATACACAGAGTACACTGAACCGTTTTTGTATTCAAGGAAGAGGACGTGGGTGCTAGAGGATTAACAGAATTACCACAGGTCACGAGGTGAGCCAGACTTGCGTGCGTGTTTATAATTATTTGCAAACTGCTTTTTACATATGTCTCAAGGCCAGTGCTTTTTTTCTTTAAAAAATGTTTAGGGGTACTCTCAATTTCCTACTCATATTGAAATACTGCCCCTCAATGAGGCCAAACTTAGATTCACAAAATGTACCCCTGCGTCGCCCCAGAAAAAAGCACTGCTCAAGGCCATTGACAGGTGTCCCACCAAAGTGACTATGCGACCATGGGACTCTAACTCCCAGCAGCCCCAGCAGCCCGCCTCCCCCATCCCTGGCCTTCACAGAGAACCAGTGCAGGGAGAGGTGTTTATGAGGCTGGAGGAATGAGCCTTTTCCCCGTGCCCTCCTGGGCATGGACAGACCTCCTCTGCCCAACTACAGTGTGAGGGCAAAGGGAACAGCCCCAACCCAAAGCACTCACCTCTCTGGGTGCTTGTCCAAAGCGGTCCAGGGGTAACCGGCTGGCTGCTGGTTGTGTCCAGCTGAGATCCTCCCCAAGAGCACCTGAGAGAAGAAGGCCTGGTGGGGAAGTGAGGCACAGCTGGGATCTAGGCAGCCACTCTAGGTGTCCTGTCATGTGTTCTAAATAGCCGGGCACTCAGTCATGCCTCATTGCGATCCAACTGCTTCGCCAGAGAGCTCCTGAAGGGCAGGCACTTTGGGCAATCCAGCTCAGACCCAGCGGCTGACTAACAGGTCTTGCACCCGGACTTCCTTCAGCTTCCTGGTTTGATTGCAGATTAAACGCTGCAGAGCTACAAATTCGCAGGAGCCTGCCCAGAGGTAAAAGGTCTAATTATGGTCTCACGTGAGGAGGTGATGATGGCAGTGGTGATAAGGCAGCTCATGTGCCGCAGCCAGAGTGCAGTGGCAGGCGAGTGCAGGGGAGGGTTTTACACTCCAGGGAAAGAGGGCGTTCTCTCCAGGCAAACAGTGTTCTGCCAAGCTTCAGATAATGAGATGCAGATTATGTAGGAGGGAGCACATCCCAGTCATAAACACATTTGCCTGGAAGCAGATTTCCCTCTTCCTCTTTCCTGGCATGGCACTGAGAAAGTCATCAGCATCAAACGTGTTAGCAGAACTCCTTGCCACCACACTCCACTCCTGATGCCATGCTTGGTGTTTGTAGCTGGCAGAATAGCTGACACACACCTCCACCGGCCGGGTCATGCAGCATTCAGGCCCGGAAAGGATTTCTTACATGCCATGTTTTGCTTACTGTCTTTGGGACCTTTCAGCATTTTCTAGACTGAATTCAAAGCACCAAACTGGAGCTGAAATGTTGCCAGTGAGACTCTGCCTCTGGGGTGGGCATTTTAGAGTCTGCCAAAAAGTTGCTTCAAATTTGTGAAGCTTCATATTAGGAGCTGAAGGTGGAAGGAGAATCAGGCTGCTCAGGATTACTCCCATGATGAGGTGACACCTTCCAGATGTTGTATGTTCTGTGTGTGGCTGCAGCCAGCTAATGGTTCTTCTATATGTTTGATTATCTTATCTTTAACCATGCTTTCCACTAGTTTTCCAGGGACAGACATTAAGCTAACTGGCCTGTAATTTCCATAATCCACCCTGCATCCCCTTTTAAAAATTGGCTGCTTTCCAGTCCTTGGGTATAGAAGGTTATAAGTTACATACTTTTGTTAGAAAACCAGCAGTCGTGTGACTTATTCAACCTACAGCTACCACCACCTTCCCCCCATTCCTGGTGAATTCTGAGTTGACTGGGAGGATGCATCTGCTCTCTTAACACTGGTCCTGAAAGATCTACATTGGCTCCCAGGACGTTTCCGAGCACAATTCAAAGTGTTGGTGCTGACCTTGAAAGCCCTAAACAGGCTCGGCCCAGTATATCTGAAGGAGTGTTTCCACCCCCATCGTTCTGCCCGGACGCTGAGGTCCAGCACCGAGGGCCTTCTGGCGGTTCCCTCGCTGCGAGAAGCAAAGCTACAGGGAACCAGGCAGAGGGCTTTCTTGGTAGTGGTGCCCGCCCTGTGGAACGCCCTCCCATCAGATGTCTGGTAAAATGAGATAAACTATCTGACATTCAGAAGACATCTTAAGGCAGCCCTGTTCAGGGAAGTTTTTAATGTGTGACACCTTAGTGTATTTTTGGTCTTTGTGGAAGCCGCCCAGAGTGGCTGGAGAAACCCAGCCAGATGGGTAGGGTACAAATAAAAAATTATTATTATTATTATTATTATGAAGGCATAAGCAGAAAGGCCTGCAAATATCCCCCCAGCCTTCCATAGACCCTTGCAAGTACAAGCTGCATCACAGTCACACACACACACGCGCGCGCAGAACCGAAGACTTGGCTGTCTGCCATGCTGCCCCCAAGGCTGAGGAGGAGAGGCAGGCCCTCACCTGCTCACCTGAGAGTTGGGATGGTTCCAGGAGCAGCATGTTTTCCCACACGTGGCGATATAAATGCAGATGTTTATTGCATCTGCCCAGATGTTGCGCAAGCGCCTCTTGCTACAAACGCTTTCAGGAGATCTTATCTCCCTGTGTTTCCGAGATGATATTGTTGTGCATCACTGATAGGCCGTGGGGTTCAACAGCTGAGGGGCCATGCAGGCTGCTTAGAGGCAGCCCTCCCTCAAAGCAAGATGATGACTCCACAGCCGGTCCCATCCCTAGTGTGCACATAGGTGCTGTGATGCTTGAGCCTCACTCCAGCTCTGAGGAGAATGGCATCAGGACAGAGTGGGCGCACAGAGCAAAGAAGCCCCTGCTTCCCCAGGAGCTCCAGGTGGGCTTCAGGTGTCCATGAACTCTGGGTCTGGGCTTCTGCATCCACCTCCCATGCTTTTGCACAACTCCCATTCTTTCTGGTGTCACTTGCACAGTGGCTCATGCCCAACACCTAGTCTCACCCTCACCCTTTTCTGGCAAGACTTCCAGCCCCTTTCTCTGCCAAGTAATCTCCCTTTCCAGAAGAGAGTGTAGGTGGTTTTATTGATTTGTGGGTGAGGAATTCATCTCCCAAGTTATTTGCTGCCGAAAAAGATTGATGAGATATGAGCTGAGGTTATTTTGAGGCACTCTGCCTGTTCTCGTCACGTTTATCTCACACCTGGTATTTAATGGGGAGTTATGAAACAGGATTTGGCCCAGGGCCCTTTTCTGCTGAGCCAGCGGGGTCTGCTTGGATGTGGTTCTGGGAATCCAGTCTTCTTAGCCAATGTGGGCACTGGGTGGGTTGCTGACCCCCAGGCACAGCTCCACGGAGGGCTAGGAGGATCTCAGAAGCAATTTCTATCAAGTCCAGGTTCATTTTTAAAAGGCTAAATATCACCTGACCTGCACTCTTGGTTACCCGCATTGGAATTTCTTTCCCTTCATGACTGACTCTACTAATGAATGGTAATTATTTAACATCTTCCTCAATTACTGTGACAGAGGTGACACAGTTCTCTCCATGTTGAATGTATGGCATCCACCTTGCTTGGTCAACATGCTTCAGGGTCAGGTTGTGGATGCCAGAATCCCGGTGTGCCTTCTGGCCGCTCAGGACCTTCCTCTGACCACCAAGTTGCCTTGGATCAGCTTCCGTACCCGCAGACTAATTCATTAAGAGCCCTATTGGCAATGCCGACCGTGGGGAGGAGGGCAAGAGGTGCGTGCGCCCTGTGACTAGATGGCTGGGCCGGCAAATGGAATCTTGACTTCTTCATCCTCATCGGTGGGGCAGCATCCTGCACTGCGCCTGAGGGCTGGCTGAAGAGGGTGCAGGGCACACACACTGCTCTCACTCGGCAGCATGTTTCCAGCCATTCTCTGGACCGTGTGGAAAGCCTTGGGGAGTGAACATGACTGGGCTTTTAAAAAGAAAAAAGTAGAGGGGAAGGTGAGCCAACAACCAGCCCACTTCTGCAAATTCCTAAGAAATCTGCACCCCACAAAAGTCCTTTGCAGCCAAAAACCAGTGACCTCCTGCGCAGGAAGACCAGTCACCTCTGTTGGATTTTAACTCAGGGCTCCTGTTGGTTTGAAACACTGACTCCAAAGGTCTCAGGAAGATCCTTCTTGTATAAGGAATGAAAATACAGAGGGCCAATCCAGTGGGACATTCCGCTGCGCAAGCTGAAAATAATCATCTAACGATAACATGTACCTTGTCCCTAGACCAGCCTCTGTACTTAAAAATTGTAAAGTCACCAATGGAATGCCAGGTTTTAAAATTGGATCCAGAGGATATCCAGAAAATTACAGGCTAGTAACATCAGTTACAGGAAAATGATAATAAACTTATTATCAACAGAATTACCAAACGTGGAGAAGAACATGCCTTGCTAAAGTGGAACCAGCATGGCTTCTGTGAGGGCAAGTCCTGTCTCAAGCCCCACGTTGGGGGAAATATTCCTTCGTTGAGGGGGGACTAGATGACCCACACGGTCCCTTCCAAGTCTACAAGTCTATGATTCTGTCAGCTGGGCTCCCTTGCACAGGAGAGCTTCCCTGTGGATCTTGGCCAGAGTGTGCTCTTGACTTCCTTGTAGATTCTGAACTAGATTAAGATGTATCAGGGGCTTTTGAAGTAAGCACAGCCTTTGCATTAGATTTGTGTGGTGGACTGAGGCAACACCCCCAGAAACAGGTTAAAGTCTAACAGGAAGGCATAGCAGGAAAGTGAGACAGTAACTTGAACAACTTCTGGAGGAAGGGCAGCCGTGTTAGTCCGCTGCATCAAAAGCAACAAATAGCCTTGTAGCACCTTGACAACGGGAAGAAACTTTTATGGCATAAGCTTTCATGGGCGCTCCCTCAGGTATCAATGTTCAAAGTGTCAACGTGGCATCATATTATTGAGTTTTCCTTTTAAGGGTTGCTTTGAATGTCCACACCTGAAGAAGAGCTTGAAGATTCTTTGAGGATTTCAAAAACTAAAGGGTGCAACCCTATCAATTGTTCTGAGGGTTTTGTTTCATTATTTATATTGTTACCACTACCTTTCTATACCTTTATCTGAGGATCACAGGGAATGTGTGTGTGTTTTCCTTGGTGTCTAAACCTAGTGAGGCCGCCAGTTGAGCCCCCCTGTGGAGATGTGGAGAACATTTCACAAATGGGGAGCCATGCCAGAAGAGGCCTGTTCTCATGTTGTCACCCTCTGGGCAAATATTTTGTGGACGGGGCACATGAAGGACCTCAGAGGATGATTGCAGGGTCTGGGTTGGTTCATATGGGGAGAGGCAGTCCTTGAGCCATTTAAGGCTTTATAGGTCAAAACCAGCATGTTGAATTGGGCGTGGAAGCTACCGTAAATGGCAGCCAGTGCAGCCAGGCCAGGATCGGTGTAACATGCTCAGACTGCCTTGCCCCAGTGAGCAACCGGGCCACTGAATTTCTGAACCGTCTTCAGAGGCAGCACCATGTATAATGCATTGCAGTAATCTAACCAAGAGGTTAGCAGAGTGTAGACAGTACAATCCTGTGCATACGCAGAAGTAAACCCAGAACCAGAACATTTGCAGTACAAAAAGTTAGAGGGTTTAGCCAGCAACTATGGGAGATGCACAGCTTGCGGCTGAAGTAGTACAACTGCCCCCAAACTGTTTTTGGTGCGTATGGTATGGTACAATTGTACTGTGAGCATAAACCACAATGAATGCACAATGAGAAGGACACTTGCGGGGAGGGGGGGGCTTCCTCTGCCCCTTCTCCCCTCAGGGCAAGAAGCCCTTTTGGTGGCAGCTGTGGGAGGGAGACACCACTGGTGGCTGGATAGTGGCATCTTCCCCAGCTCCTCCTACTTCTTCTCCCTTCCCCTCCGGGCAAGATCTGTTTGTGGTCTCAGAATGGAAAGGGGACAAGATCTCTGTCTGGACATTGATCACTTGAT